CTTAACTCAGATATTGATACAGTGAAACACCTCCTAAGAATTCTTTTCGGGCTCCAACTTCAGCAGAAATTACGCTCTCTATTTTCTCGGTCGATACACCAGCGGAAATTTCAAGGGACCCAAACGTCATAATGTCACTACATCGGGAATACTGGGGTACACAATTCCAGTCCACCTCAAGGGATCTCGACGTTACTCCTGAGGATTTTGACTTGGACAAACTACAGTCCATTTTGAAGCACAACAAGCGGAAGACGACCTCGTTACAAGCTTCAGCATTGGATGCTTCGCTTACGGCTAATAATTTCTACTATGCATTCAAGCACACAGCATGTGGGAAGAGCCGAGGTCCTGATATTTTACCGGCTGAGTATTACCAGCTTTTTCTATCTGACTGAGCACGAGCTTTGTAACTGATATTTATGGTAAATTCCGGCTTGTTCGTATGACAGAGTTTCAACGTTGTGCCTATCTTTATCTTCTTCATAAGGGGTGGTCGCTCAGACCCAAAGAAATATCGTCCCCTCACGCTTTTGAATAATGATGCAAAGTTTGGGCCTAAAGCTCTGGCTTACAGACTCAAACAAGTTTTACCTAAGCTTGTCGGCGACGACCAATTTGGGTTTGTACCCGGTCGTGACATTCGCCATGCAATAAGGTATCTTTTGGATCTCTAACATTATACCACCACCTGTGAAACACGAACTCCCGCCGGTGCCATATGCCTCGACTTTGCGAAGGCTCTTGACAGTGTCACCTGGCAGGTATTTTGATATTGTTCTTCAACACTGGGGATATGGTGAATGTTTCCGTCGTTGGGTTTCTACATCTTACTGGGTACATAGTACAAGTTTTAATTAGTAACTCTTGTTCACATTACTTCAGCTTGGGTGCGGGAGTCGACAAGGAAACCTACTTTCGCCAGGGCCCTTTGTTCTATTTATCGAACCGTTATTGTGCTATCTTCGAGTGGTCAATCAATCTTTTTTAATAAAAATTCGTGAAACTTATTATTACACTCTCAGCTTCGCAGACGACATTACAGGGGTGGTTAATGATTTAATCTAAGCCCCTACGTTTCTGGCACGTGTTCAAGAATTTTGCACTGCAACTGGTATGCAGTTAACATGGACAAAACTGTTATATTCTCTTTTCGAACCTGGAAGAAATCTGAGTACTCTTTACTCAGCGCCTTACGCGACTGTGACACCCGTGTACTTACCAATGAAGAGCATACCACACTTTTAGGTATGCTTGTGGGTCTTCAGTGCCGGCCCAGCTTACAGTTAACTGCTTTTTCGTTTTCAGCACCTTTGTGTTGCGTGGCGTTGGAGAGCTCATACGCTACAAGACCGCGTCGTACTACTTAAGACAATGATACAATTAATTTTTGTGGTATTTCTGAGTATTCAAGCGCTGAGAGACTTTGTTAACAACACTCCATCACCGTGAGTTCATGGTTCATCAGTTCGAAGCTAAGCTCTCAGCAAGTGGCACTCAATTTCATTATATGCTGGGGGATTTAGCCTTCATACTGTTGCCGATACAGTCGCACTCTTTCAGGTCAACTTAATACGTCAGCTTATCCGACACTGCAGAGTCAATCTGGACTCCCCACCCAAGTGGTTTACTTCAGCTCGAGCTGCTTTCGATAGTGCACTACAAGGTCAAGGCAAGAGTTTAGACTTTCTCAACATGCCCCTACAATCAATTACGACTACTACGATGAGAAAACGTCCCTCTTTATTGGCAGCGAGCGCTTTCAATATGGAGTAATAGACTTTTGTCTAAACTAGTGAACACTAGCCCGGTGTTCACTAAGCTGATTTGGCCACTTTGGAACAACACCTTTCTTCGGTTTACTGCTGAGCAAAATACTTTGGCTGTGTTACATCGAAAAGCATGTCAATACTTATCCCTGACTCATTCAGACTACGTGAGACACTATCAGGCTTGAGTATCAACACTGCGCGTGCACTAACAAGGGTGGTAGAGATACTTTTACCACGAAAAAGTGCACCATACCACTATGGCACATTCATCATATACCCGTGCCTCCCTGAAGGAATGCTTGCTGCACTTCATATCTGGACTTTTGACGGCCAAAACATTATAGACACCACCAGCACTCTGATTCGCCGTCTTCTAAAGTCAAGTTTACCACCGTAGTAACGGTTGCAGTCTTTACGACTCAATAGAATATATCCACCTATTAATCACTGGTCTACACTGCGCAAGCTTCAATGTGATATTCTTCCCGTCTTCTCTGACCTTCTTTTCCGACTGAAACATAATGGCTTGGATTTTCGATACAAATTTAGCTGGCACACTCAAGACATTAACTGTGTTCATGGTTGTTCTACACTAGAAACCCCAAAGCATTTACTACAGGAATGCTACACAGCCAATACTATATGGCGTTTATTTCTCCTACCGTTTCAATGGATTTTTGATACTACTAATCAATGGGACCACGCCTTATTCCTCATTAACCTCACCGCCAACATGACTATGGTATTCACTTACCGCTTCGACTGCTTAACTTTATCCAATGCTGTATCTTTCGAACGTTCTGGATTGTCCGTAATAAGGCAATTTACGACTCGCCTTATCTTCACTTTATGGCAATTTTCCGACAGTGCCTCACAATATTACGCTTGCATTTACAGCGTACCATCAAGGCTTTAACACATTCACGCATTCTGAACTCACATCGGTACAAGTTTTTGCTTAATTTTTTCAAGCATGCATGGAATCATCACGTTATCGAAGACCCTTTTAACTAGTTTACTGTGGAGAGAATTACGTTCAACTTTGCTCGCATTGATCGACTGTCTTTTGGCTTTATTCACTGTGATTGACTTTTTCTCAACTTAAGTGACTTATAGTAATAATTAAGCTACTTTTTGACTTTGTCAATGCTTTTCAACTTATTGATTGGGTAAGCGGAGCTAATTAGGTTGTACTTCACGCGATTGTGGAGTATATTATCTAAAATAACTGCCTTTACGACTCATCAAGCCGCGAGACATTTCATGTCTTCCTTCTTCTGTTGATGTCAGAATCAACTTAGTTCTTTAGGCGCAAGACGAAGAAGACTTGTGGGGTAATTGCTTTTGCAATATTTTGCTTAATCTTCACGCGGGTGGGAAGGCTTGATTTTACTTTGGGGTAATCACTTCCGTGATCATTCATTTTTCTTCACGCGGTTGTGGAGACTTAGCTTTTATTTGGGATTAATCTATATCACGAGGTATCAATTACCATCTTTCGATAACGGATTGACCACTCACATCAACCATTCCGCTTTCAAGCCAAGTATGTCTAAATCGACACCCTCCTTTTTCACACAAACCCTGGATCTTTGCAAATGTCATCGTCGTCATAACCAACAAGTCTGTTTGATGCCACAAGATAACTTCGTTTCGCTAAAGAGAAAAAATTCCCTGCATTATGGATCCACGTAAACTGGTTAATGTAAACGGCTTCCCGCATACAAGTTTGCAATGCTTGTCTCAATGCTACCAAGACAACATCAAGAGGTGCGCCGACACACCGAAGGGTGCTGTACATTTGAGTAAACCAGCTCCATGGACTGGCACAGCCTTTTTCCCGCACATCATCACGACAGAGTGGATAGATGCGCATTTGCCTCAGATTTTGACTAGTGAGCCAATGGATTTGAGCTATGATGAGAGAAAAGAGGCAGAGCTCCGAGCTGCCGGGTAGTCTTTGAACACCCGACGGTGGAGGCACCCGTCACCTTTGGACTGGTTGTCCCCTTCGCAAGGCGCATCACGCTTCATCGAACCGATATCGCTTCTTACCAGTCTTATAATTTGTCGCGGGGAAACGCAACACCCAGTAGGCGTGGAGCAGTCTTCTGGGTAAGAACTGAGCTTTGTTGAGCCTCAAGAATGTGGAGGTCGGCAGGGTTCTGCCCCGACGAGCTCCGTGCTCTTGAACACGGATAGTGTATGCAACCCGGGCTTGCTGGTCGTTGAAGGGCTTTAAGAAGCCATGAAAAATCCTGGTCGACTCCGGGGCGTCAATTATGCTCGACGCCCCAAGATTGAAGGAAGCCAGCTGTATGCTGAGACACTGATAGAGCGGTTGAGTGACATCGTCACTGTTCGCTTATCAACGGATAAACTGTGGACCTCACTGTCAGGTTTCTTGACCTTGATAGCGTGGAACTCTACTAAGTTTTAGACTTAAATTCATGGTATGACCTCAACTTTGGTATCTCATGGCTGGAACACCATGAACCATGGATCGATTGGAGGGCCGATGACCTTGAGCGCTACGTACGTCTCTTGGTGGAGCTTTGGTGGGTCATGAAGCCACTTCTGCTAGAAGGTAGAAACGCAATTGGCGCGGGCATCGGACCGGGATAGTCAACGTGCTGGAGATCGGAGTATCCGAGCTGTCGAACTCCAAAGGTGTATTGGACAGGAGTCTCGAGCGTGACTCGCTGACTGAACATGGAGTGGCATCGAGCGCTGCTCAAGTATCGAAGTAGTCGCTGCAGGCCATGCGTGACGTGGTCGGCCATGGGCCTCGCCCTCGATGCCTCGGCCCCGTCGAAGCACCTGAGCACTGCTTACGTTTAAACGCAATTGCTGTATGTCAATAGTGACATGGTCGGACGAGGTTTGAGACATCGTGGGCAAGGCCCCTCAGATGCGCGTGGACGATATCCACTGGACGAAGACTGTGGAGCTAGCAGATCTCCATCGGAAGTTTGTAAAAGAGACCAGGGCTCAGGTGGAGCAGGAAGTGGAGCTAACACCGGACGATGCTGAGTGCGAGATCACACTGGCCTCACCGAGATGTAAATTCTCTGTAGAGAGTAGACGGCGACGCCGTAGGCTAGTTGCAAGACGCCGGGGGTCGACCCGGACCCAGAATGTGTCTATCGTAGACGATAGCGCACAGCTATACACCCTCGTCAACGGTACGACGGGGACGTCAACCTCGAGGCTGTCAAGCGATGGATGCTCTTTTTGGGCTCCCTCAAAAGGTTCAGCGGTGCCTTAAGGGCAGGCGACTTAGCCGAAGTGGTCATTATATGACCGGAAGAAGAGAACAACTCGTCGTCGCTTCTAGATGAAGCTGTTCTGGAGAACACCAAGAGGGTGCTGAACGCACGAAGTGATTCTTCAATTCTAGAGAATTCCCTGGATCCTTACTATCGTATCCAAAGACCCGCCGTCGGTCCTACTTCTGGACCGAGGTGTGCGTCATTTGATCGACCTATTTCCGGGGATTAAATACTGCGTAACACGCCAATGACCCCTGCCCAAGGCAGTGTAACGTCATTGACGCTTTTTCCAGTTCGAGTCACGACGCAGGAGTGGTACGTAACAGCAAGTCTCCCCATTCGACACCCCCCGTTTTTTGTCCGGAAGCCGAATGGCAAGTGGCAGATTGTTTACGCTTGCAATAAGCTCAACGCTGCCACCATTTTGGTACAGACACCTAACTGGGAAGATTTTTTAGACTATCACAGCTGGATGTACAAAGTACAGTGCACTTGACTTGGTTGATGGGTATTACCAACTGCTCATGAGAGCGAGTGATATTCCGCTGACAGCCGTGAGTACTCCGAGCGACATGCTTTGGGAGTGGCTGGCGATGCTTTAATGGCTGTCAAATGCACCGGCATCATTAAGTG